TAAAACTCAATTTTCAGAACAATGGGTTAAATACAACAAATTTGACGGGCGAATTATGCAAAATAAGAAGAGACCAAATTGTTCATACAGTAAGAAAAATAGAAAAAAATTGAACAATTTTTACAATATTAATAGTCAATAGCATGATCTCTTAGCTTTATAACTGACTGCAATGATTTTCCAAAGTTTTTGATGAGATTTGAACAAGTATTTTCTGGAATTTTCTTTCATTCTTCAATGGTTACACATTCTAATTCCTGAAGGTTTTTTGGTGACTGATGATTTATTCAAACTTTCAATTCTTGCCATAGATTTTCAATAGGATTCAAGTCAGGACTCATTGAAGGCCATGGCAGAACTGTAATCTTCTTTTTCTGAAGCCACTGATTTAGACATATGTTTGGGATCATTATCTTGCTGGAAAGTAAATCGCCAACCTAGATGAAGATTTTGTGCTGATAGTTGTAGATTTTCATCCAGAATTTTGATATAGTCTGCAGATTTCATTATTCCTCTTATTGCAATTAATTGTCTAGTCCCCCTTAAACTAAAAGAACATCAAAACATCATTGAGCCACCTCTATGTTTTAATGTTACCACTGTATTCTTTGTGAGGAAAGCATCACCTTTCTTTTTCCAAATCTTCTGTACATCATTATGTCTGAAAAGTTCAATTTTTGTTTCATCACTTCATAGTACTTGTTCCCAAAAGCAATTTTCTTTGTCCAAGAACGTTTTGGCAAAATTAAACTGAGTAACAATGTGACATGGTTTTGTGAAGAGGAGTTTGTCATGGTCAGTTTCCATACAACCCATTTCTATTTAAACAATGTTGTATTGTGCAAATACTTACGCTGATACCCATCGTATCCAAACTTTTGGCAATGTCTTTCAAAACAACTCTTGGGTTTATATTAACCTCACGACACAGTTTTTGTGCAGTTCTTGGTGACAATTGGATTTTCTTCCATATCCAATTCTCTGTTGTGCCAAACTGTTTAAACTTCTTTATAATGGACTGTACCATAGACCTAGAGAGAGCTAATCTAGTGCTGTAACTATTTCATGATTTGTGGAAGTTAATAATTCTCTGTCTCAAATCAACGCTAAGCTCCTTTGTTTTCCCTATAGTAGTTAACATAAGGATAACAATGGTGATTATCTATGCACAACATGTTCTTTGTTGAGATTATCACAAATATTCTACTGAATAAATAGTCTAGAAGGTGTCACCAATAAAATAATTATGTAAATTACATATACTTACATGAATCTATTAATTTAAAACAATATTTTCTACTGTACAAATAATTTTGTCTTTTCCTATTTTGCTGTCAAATTTGTTGCATTTAACCTATTGTTCTGAAAATTGAGTTTTATAAATCTTTTCTTGTGCTTATTAACATATAAAAAAAACCTGGCATCATACAGGCATTAGATTCTGAGAAATGGATAAAAATATTCAAAATTAATGTGTGTATGAATAATTTTCGTCATTGACTATAGTTACTCAGATATTCACATTTTCAATGTCAATGTTGGGGGTACACCCTGTATAATGTTTTTTTTTTGTTTCATAAGTAAATTAAATTGTATGTTGTTTAGTTTATTTACAAAGTCAGATAATATTGTTTTCCAGAAATATATTATTAAAGCATCATTTATATATAAAAAATATCTTGATTGTTTAAGTAAAATATTTTGGAAAGGACCAGTTCCTAGAAATCCTAAGCCACACTGTTTCATCATCTGTCTAATATCAGAACATGATTGATAATGGCTCACCCCAATTTCTTTTTTTCCCTTGCTCTAAGTAACTTTTGACTCTTAACCTTCTCTCTTTGACCTTATTCTGTCAACAAGTCGCACAAACTTGTTAAATAGGTTACTCATTGTTTCCACACCCCTGCTTCTTTCAGTAACTATTAAATTCTCCAAACTCTCTTTCCTCTTTGTGTGTACCAGAAATTTTCACTGTCTCTTTCTGATTGTAAGTATAAACTTCATTATATTTCCTAATTTTCTTTAAAACTCATATGTTGTGCCCATGATGGTCTCAGCATTTGTTTTCAGAATCATATTTCTGCTGCTTCATTTATTCTTCAGCTATCAGGAGATTGTCTATCATTCACTGTCATATAGGAGATTAGATCTATAGTAGTTCAGCCTTATTTTCTTTGTTTCTAATGAAATTTTTCTATTACCCTTAATACTTTGCTTAGTTTCTGGAAAGCTTATTTTGCCATTTGAATTTCTGTATCACATTTTCTCTCATCTGTACTGCACTATCCAGATGATTAAATTTATGAATTTGCTTGTTTTTACATCCCCAATATATAAATCACACCTTGGGCTGTCTCTTTTTCTGACAACCATGCATTTTATCTTCTTACAGTTAACTGTTTTTACTTCTAGCTTTCCTTCTCTATCTTATCTAAGAGATGTTCAACCAAATCAAGTAATCAATATTTTTACAACTGCAACAAAAAAAAAAATTAGTAAAACAACAAAAGATAATCACATGATGATATCAAACAGAGGTTATATTGATGAAATATTAAAACCAAAGTAAAAAAAAATTACTGAATAAGGTTTTATGATGAGAAATTAAAATTAAACTTGAATTAGTTGAAGCAATTTTTCTCTGTAGAGAAGAAAAAAAGTTTGATCTATATACACATCTAATAAATTTCACTTTTCAACAATTGCTTGTGTAAAAGAATAAATCAGCAATAAACAGTAGCAAATGGCTAGTACAAAGATGCTCATATCTACAGCTTTATTCTGCTTAAAAGTTAGACTGCAAGGGCACCTCGAGGTGGTGTAATGGTTAACAAGCTTGTCTTGCCAGAACAATTACTACTGAGTAGTGAGTTTGATCCTCACTGGATGCCCCATACTTTCGGCCTTGTGCCACATCAAAGTTACGCTTGGAAAATCTCTATTGGGCACCTCGACGTGGTGTAATGGTTAGAAAGCTTGTCTTGCTAGATCAATTACGACTGAGTAGTGAGTTCGATCCTCACTGGATGCCCCAGACTTTCGGCCTTGTGCCACATCTAAGCTACGCTTGGAAAATCGATACAAGTTAGACTGCAATTATTTTCAGTGATTGGACAGGTGCTTAAGATGATGCTAAAATAATGATTCCAAACCATTCTCTTCAGGCATGATCAGATAAAAAGACAAAAAAAATGACTGTTTTTAACAACATTAGAGAAAGAATAATATCCATTTGATTCAATAATTATCTTTTTCAAAAGTTGCTTTGTAATTATCTTAAAATCAACCAAGATTTTAAATGGAGCTTAAATTATTGCTTAAAATCCCCAATCTGTAAAAAGCAAACATTTTCTCAAGTTGAAATTTTAAGTTAAATACTGCATTTCTGTCTAAATTTCTGGGGTGAAATGTTATCATTATTTACATTCAGACTAATGTCCTCATCCTTGTTGTTATTATTGGCCATTGTTCCCTCCAGACTTTTTCAGGTATCTGTCGATCCAGATAGCCTTCAGGGTATTTCAGACTGAATCCTTTATTTAATTTATGGGGCTAGATTGTTCTCACTCTGCTGTTCATCTATCGAGGGATATTTCATCTTGTTATTGAACTCACAATTACTTTATTCATAAGCCAATGCTTTAATCCACTAGGTTACTGTCCTGTGGGACAATCCTGGATCTAGAAATTGGAATTGGATCTTAAATTTAATGTTTTTTTCTGTCCTGCCTGCTGCTATCATGCTTGACTGCATTCACGTTGGGCTCTCATTTCTTTACTGCTGTTGTTGTTGTTGAAGCCTTGCAATCATTTCTCTTTATGTATTTATTAATGGCTCTCACATGGTATTTGTTTCTATGCTTGGCCTACTGAGGAGGCCCTCATAGCCTAACATATGCACCAATTCCTTCAAATGTTTTCAGTGTTCCTCTCTAATATTTTTACTTCATTCCACAAGGATTGGTGACCACTCTTTTACCTTCATACACGATCAGCTATGGTGGATTTCGTTGTCTCACCCTAAAACATTGTGATAACAACAAAGATAAGGACATTAATCTGGATGTAAATTAATATTACTTCTTTGTTCTTTTGATATTTATCAATTTTTGATTATTTTTTGTTAGATGATCTTGATCTCTTCATTCTCTCGTTAGATCTCTTCATCTTATTTTTTGTTAGATGAGATTAGATTAAATCAGGCATTATTATTGATTGTATTAACTCTCATTTAAAGTTGATGAGAACATTGTCATCGACTATGATTAGACTTTACTCATCTTTATTGACATCTTATTTGATAAACATTATCAGTTATTGTTGCTAATTCTGAACAGTATTTACTTTCATTTCTTAGATGAATCATCGTCAAGCATTATTTATTTCTGACTAGTATTTACTTTCATCTTTGTTTTTTATTACATGAAGCATTGTCAAACATTATTATTATTTACTTATATTTACTTTCACATTGATTTTTTTATGACAAAACATCTTTCATTTTCATTTCTTATTCTTAATTTTTATTTGATCTTCATTTTTTATTAGATTAATCATTTTCAACTGATTACAATTTTTGACTTGTATTTACTTTCACTTTCAGTTTTGTATTATCAACTTTTGACTTGTATTTGCTTTCATCTAAATGTTTTCATTGATTGTTGATCTACGGTAGTAAGTAAATACTGCAGATGTGAACAAAAGCATAAAACTCAAATCCACAACCCTTGATTGTCGTTTTTGTCTTTTGACAAAAGTCATTTCCATATCTGTATTTCTACTCAGTTAAACTGTTTTGTTCCATATTACTAGTCCACTAATTGCTTTTTCTTTAAAACTGAAAAAATATCTAAAGCTTTTCTTTTTCCTTCTGTTTCAATCTTCTTACTGGCAACATTTTTAGAGTTTGTTTTTCTCAATGAGAAGAACATTGTCAACAACTTTCATTTCTTTTATTTTCTTTGAGTTGTGAATTTTCAGCTGACACCAAATCCAGATCATTTTGTCGAGTCTTCAACTGACAGCATAACTAGATCATTAACGAGCATTTCATTCTCTTCATCGGATGTTTCCCATGGTTCAGTAGAAGAACAGTTTCTTTCTTTTGTAACTGGAGACAAAGGCTCAGCAGAAACAAGTTGTTTATTGTTGATCATTTCATCTCTTGAAGTATCCAATGCCTTCATTAATTCACTTGAATCCAGGTTCAATTTCATCCTTTCATCTGATTGACTTCCTCTGGCTTTTGATGCTTCTACTTCATTGTCTGGATAAACCTGAGCATAAAAAATATATACATATATATGAAACATTAGACAGATGAAACATACTACATATGTAGTAAAAAGTGAAAACATATATCACTAACTTACTGAGGTACATCAATAAGTCAATAGTTTAATGATGAAAAAAGCAGTTATTTTATACAACAAATATTTACTTTTAACATCCTTTTCTTCTTTTTTACTTGTATAGACTGAACATTAGAATATTTCAGATCAAATTTCATCTAATAATTATGTCTGACTACAGACATTAAAAATTGAAAGCAATATTTAAGTAATTCTACAACTGCATCATATTTAGACTCACTAAAGTCCCACAGACACTCCAAAGAATAGGGAGGGGTCACAGCTTTCAAGTCCCTTAGACACAATGAGTGGTATGTGTTTGGTTTGGTTTGGCTTGTTTTACGGCATATTAACATCAATGGGTTATTTAATGCTGACAAAATTTTTATTACTGATAATATTTTGTCTTGTCAAAAATCTATTTCTGGTAATATTTTTCCTTCAAAAATGTATTGCTGGTAATATTTATTTTTTAAAAACATTGTTGGTAATATTTTTCCAAAAACGTATTGCTGGTAATAGTTTTTTATTGCTGGAAATTTCTGATATTAAAACCTATTTTTACACTTTCATAGTGTTTTACCCAAGTTTGGGGGTTCACTATTTGCCTGTAGCTGGGACCCCAACAGGTGCCATCACCCCAGGTCAGGGCAGACCTGAGAACACCAGCAACCAAGAGGCAGCTCCACGCTCCTCAAAACCTCCTAATCAGAGGCCTTGCTGCTGGACGCATCATCTTGCCCAGGACGCGGATGTAGTTTATCATCATACCCAGGACGGGAGTGGTATGGGGGTCACAATTCTCAGAACACTGGGCATTGCTGCTCTGTTTTTTATCCCATGCAGCATGTTTTTATGGAAGGGAGTTGCTAGCCCATGACACAACCAGCGTTGTCCTTCTCCTAGTCTGGTTACCAACCACAGCAAAAAATCCCAGTCTACCCTAATATTTAACCCATAGTTGGAGGGAGAAGAGAAAGATTCATACTTTTCCGAAGAGTATTTACCTTAAGTGAATTTAATGAATGCAAATTTGAACTTTCTGGTTTCTAATTTTGAGCTGCCACCTCCCCCCCCATTGGACATATAAAATATAAAAAACTAATCATGTTACTCTATACTTTTTGCTTATGCTTAATGCTTGCTGAAGATTAAAATAAAATTTAGTGAAGATAACAATTGATCCTCTGCCTTGTTCTTTTGCTAGAAATGAAAATAATTTTTTTAAAATTAACTTAATTTTAATATATATTTAAACATAACTTTCAAAGTTTAATTGTCTACAAAGCCAGCTGCAATTAAAAAGTTTCTTAAACACACTATTTATTGTATAAACATGAGATGGTATCTATATTACATCACCAGATGAGTCAACTACACAGAGATGAGTAATTTAATGGACTCTTCTAGTGATATAGAAAAGTGTCATACAGAACAAAAAATACTATATATATATATATATATATATATATATATATATATATATATATATATATATATAAATATATAAATATTGATTCAAGAGGCCCTATATATCAAACAACAATTCCTACCATCAAACTTACATTATTTAAAAGTGGAAATGGTGTGTTGGAAAAAATTTGCTTCTGCATAAGTGTCTCACATTTTTAAATTTGGATTCTTTAATGTAACTATAACAACAAAAATATTTTGATATCATTTTTGCCTTGAAATGGTCGAAAGACGAAACGCATCAGCAAAAAACTAAGATTTTTTCCACATGTCATTCTGATATCACACACACCCACACACACACACATATATATATTCAAGCTCAAAGTCCAAAGAAAAAAAATCTCCGACACGAGTAAAATAAAAATAACTAAGCAAAGTGCTCAATACACTAAGTAGAGCAAATCTAACTATGAACCTAAAGAGCCAGGCAAACCTACCTAGGTTTCACCTACGCAGATCATCAGGGTACGCTGGCCAAAGAGGTAACATTAGAACAGAATATAAATAGCCTACAACATAAAAACATGACCATGTGACCAAAAAAAAAGTAAAATAAAACAGAAACTCAACAAGAGGGGTTAAACCTATTTATCCACCCCCCCCAAAAAGAAAGAAAACCAAACCTATACTAGTAACCAGCATTTAATATGTCTATTCTGTTCTAATGTTAACTCTTTGGCCAGTGTACCCTGACAATCCACGTAGGTGAAACCTAGGTAGGTTTGCCTGGCTCTTTAGTTATATATATATATATATTAAGGAATTAATAGATTTTTACCGACAGTTCACCATTATTACTATATATGTTATATTTAGTGGATATACATATTTGAGTAGACATCCCTGTTTTTTAAACAATATATCTTTCATCTAACAAACTAGGTTTTTAGAGTCTTTCATAAAGAAAAATTGGATATTATTTGGCTATCTCCATTCTATATATGTAAATATTTTATGATGATTCTGGCAAGTGATCGCTTTTTTTTGGATTACATTCAACCCTAATGGGCTCACTGATTTCAGTTTTATCAGTTAATGTTTTTAAGGCTCATAAAAGAATGAATTTTTCATTACGTTTGTTCATAAACAAAACTTGTTGGCATATTTATTATACAACAATACTATTGCTTTGTTGTAGCCTGATGAGAAATAATAAAGAATGTTTCTTAGTGTAGGTGTCAGAGAAATTGGCAAGCCAGGTAGAGAATGGAGGCAGCAATAAATCCTTGGAAACTATACAAAATAGATGGTAAAAACCAATAATGGTGGAAGCAATTAAATCAAAGAACCATCACTTTCCCTTATTTTCATACAAACCAGAAATACCAAAAACAAAAAGTATTTGGCATCTTTTTTTTTTAGTTTTTATTTAAGGCACCAAAACAGACAAATAATTCTCATGTTCAAGAAAAAAAAACAACAATCCTCACAAGGAAAGAGCACTTGCAAACATGGCTTAATGATAAGAATGTAGGGTTTTGAAAACAAATATCTACATTTACATTCCAACTGCTTGATTTAAAATTGAACAGGAAAAGAGTTATTTCATATCAGTCTTTTCAATTAATAAAAGTTTTCATTGTTTAAAATCTAAAATATCTATTTAATCAACGAATTGAAAAATTGATCAATTTAATAATTCAGAGAGCTAACAGATTTTACAATGCAACAACCAGCAGATTTAATGGAGTACAAACTGATACACACACACGTTTCAGAAGGGAATTTTAAGAAAAAAAAAACACTTGGACATCAAACAGATGGTATGGAAATTTTCATCTTCCTGAGAAAAATCAATTGTTATAATGAAAGAAAATATATTTCTCCCTTCAAAATGGCTTAATTTAATTTAACACTTTGAAAATTAAAAATGGCACATAAAATAATTTCCAAAAGAAAATTAAATCAAGAGTTTGAAAATAATAAACCATTTTAACTATCATTTAATATTTTAACTAAACTTAAATTAAATTTGTGAAGAGACATCTGTAGTGAAATCTCAACTGGTCTGGGTTATATATATTCTAGCATAGTACCCATCAAAAATAATATTTACATGTGGCTTACATACACATATATACATATATATACATACACATATATATATATACACACATATATATGCATACACACACATGTGTGTGCATACATGCACACCTACACACACTCACATTTAACCTGAAATTGACTAGTCCTATTAGACTTCAAAAAGTGCCGAATACCTAAAACATAGCATAATGTTAAGAATGTTCATCTTAAAAAGCTATAACTACTTCACCACACTACAGCAGTTTCCCTTCTTGGATCTTCAAGCAGGTTTGGTTATCATTATACCTCACACTACTTTCTAATTAATCATACCACCTATGTTCCTCTTCATGTCACCAAACAAAAGGTCTTTGTACATTATTATTGCTAATTTCCATCAGTCCCCACCCACCAAGCATAACCTAGAAAGTCTCAAGCTTTTTCCATAACTCAAAGTCTTCTTGATTATTTCCCATTTGACTCTTATTGTCATATTTTTTCATGTTTTTAATACCCATATGAAACACAATAACACAGTACTACACTAGTACTTGGCTGTCTCCATAGATATTTTATGATTATAATAGCTGTTTTTAAATGGCATCCTCCATTGATCCAATGTATATCTTGACTTGACAGCCATTTACTTTACTGTTGCTTGATACACCACATTTCTAATCTGACAATTTCCATTAAAAGGACAAATTTTCAGATTTCTGCAACTCCACCTTTGGTTCTCCTTATCTCTTCAATTTAATACTTTTCTCTTATGCCTTGTTATTTGTTTATCCCCATTAGTATGCAGCTGTTACTTATTAATGATTATATTCCTATTGAAAATCTTTGGCAATTCTAATCCTTTAGGGAAGCACTTTTTTAACAATTTAAAAAACGTTTTTCATCTCTTAGATTTTACTGCCATATTCAATAGTGGTGTGAACCAGATGATGTTTCTTTTATTTCTTTTATATATCAGACTTATTTTGTGCCCCTTTGTTTAAAAGGAAATACTATTAAACACTTCATCAAATAATGAAATGACGGAACTGATTGATGACTAAAATAATAGCTATTTAAAAGTTTGAGTTTTGCTGGGCCAAATTGAAAAGGAAACACTCACCTTAACGGATCCAAGAGGATCCATATCAGGACCAAAATCATCTGAATGTTTTGCAAGTATCCTATAACAAAACAACAGCACATAACTCATTAAACTCTTTAAAACCTTTTCTATGTTACTTCATTTATTTTATTTTCAACTACTTAGAACACATATATAGAACAGAAAGTCAATTTTTTAAAGAAAACTTGCAGGATTTGCCCAGTGGCTGAAATGGTAGCAACTTTGTTGCAGATGCTGGCAGAGCCAATGATCTAAGTTAACACCAACATTCTGAATTCTGATTATCAAAGAAGGTAAACTCTACAGAGGTTTTCCATCCAGTAATTTTCATCCCTTAATATTCAATATATTTGCGTATTTATAAAGGTGGGCAAAGCATAATGGTTACCAACAAACCAAGTTCAAAATCTGGTCTAGTTTGTTGTGTTCTCTTTTGTACTCATATCTTGGAAAAGGCATGAATCCATCTCTTCTACCCGCCCACCCTGCTATGAGTTAATTGGTAGAGTATACTGGGGTCTCTAGCACTGTGTGGCAGCCAGTCAAGAAATAATTCAACTCTGAAGTTTGAATTCCAGTCAGATTTATTATATTCACTTACACAGAAATTCCCTTGAGAAAGGGATGAAAAAGCTGTGAGTTAAATAGTAGGACTTGTATCTGGATAAATCATTGTTATTCTCAAAAACTTTTAATGCAATATCCACTAGCAAAAAAGAATTATTCTTACAAGTCAAAATATGTTTAGGCTTTAAATAACTCATGACAGGTTGATAACTCATAAATGACAACTCAATCAATCAATCAACTTCAGCATCAAGTGCTATAAATATCTAAAACTTCATTATTGTCACCAGGCTTTGCTCACACAATAAAAAAGAAACCCTCCTTTGTCTTTATCCCACAGATGTCAATAATAGTAAAAGTAGTTGCCATACTCATGATGTGTGGCCTGCAGATTTACTACCTAACTACCCAGACTGCAACCCCCTTGATTATTATGTGTGGGGTGCAGTTAAGCAAGAGACTAACAAAACTCCTTATAACATCAAAAATGAACTGAAGGTAAGGATTATGGCATTATTCACCAACTTAAACAAGGAGATCATCCAGAAAAGTTGCAGAAGATTGTGAATTAATCTGGAGGCTATGGCTGAAGCCAATGAAAATTTTATTGAATAAATTTACTCTTTAGTATTTCAAGATATTTTTGTAATATTTTGATAAATATATCTGTTAAATTGAGATGTCAGTGTTATTTTCAGTTTTGTGTAATTTAGACGACAATTTATCCATCATACCCTGTATACAGTATTAATATAGTTGCCATCCATAACATTGAGCCAAACACATATGCCTACCAAGAGGAAATGATCAGAATTAGAAACATCATTCAAGGTAACAACTACCCAAGTAAGCGTATCATTGGCTTCTACGAACAGAAACAATAAATAACAAAAGAAAATCTGTCACAGTTTGTCTACCATACATAAGTTGTTCATCTAAACAGATTCAGAGGATCTTGGTCTATGTATCAGGATGGTATTTGAAAACAAATCAACTCTCTGGGCATATCAATCCTGAATCAAGGGAGAGAACTTTGCATAAAGATGACCTCCATAAAAGGTTATCAAGAAAGTCACCAATGCTCCAACCCATGTCAGCAAATAGTCATATAGTGTTTTTAAAACAGCATCTTGACAAGGATTCAAGCTTTTAGTCATCAGTTTCATACAGTTGTGGCTATGAATACAAGTCACCCATAAAAGTAAGGATGAGGAACAAGAAGCTGTACTCTAAAGAGAAACACTGAAATCAGGCATGGCTGATCATATAAGGAGAGTGAAAAGGTGGTCATCTACCTACGGGGAAATGAAAATAACAGAGAACAACACTGGAGGATAAAAAACTGAAAGATTCAAAACACAGGTTAAGTTTAGTCAATCTCCTCAGTAGGCCTAGCATAGAGATGAACACCGTCTGGGTGCATCTGATTAAGAATGAAAGAAAGACTGTTAAAAAATTTACCACTTGAGTACAGACTCTGGAAAGGAAAAGCAACCCAAAGTATCACCTTTATTGGGTAAGAAAAATGCTCAGAAATATCAAGAACAATTCAAGGATTGCCATCAAGGATACTTTGGTCATTTTGAAAGTTATCACCAAAGAGGTGAAAAAAAAAAGGAATATTAATATATAGTTGATGGAACAAGAATGCAGTTCATTGGGAAAAGGAGAGAAATAGAGGATATAAAATAACAATCATGAATAAGTTTATTGCATTTAAATGAACAGTAGATGTCTGACAAAGTTGTGATGAATTTATTTTTTTTCCTCTAGCACTGATCTCTGATAAGATCAGAAACTGATCTGCTATAACAATCTATAAGCCTCTCTATATTTACAATGGTCTATTTCATTTACAATAGTAAAAGTGAACAATAAAACTAAATGCACTTCTCTTGAATAAGGATATATACTAGATACAATAGGTTCACATAAAGGTAAGTCTCTTATGGCGTTTGTCCTGGGTATGACAATAAACTACATCTGGCATCAAGGCCTCTGATTGGGAGGTTTTGAGGAGTGTGGAACCATCTCTTAATTGCTGTTGTTCCCAGGTCCACCCTGACCTGGGGTGGTAACATCTGTTAGGGTCCCAGCTATGGGTAAACAGTGAACCCCTAAACTGGAGTTAACACATTATGAAAATATAAAAATACATTTTTTATAGTAAAAATACCAGCAATACATTTAAAAAAAAAAAATATGCCAGCAATAAACATATTCATAAAAAAATTAGCAGCAATATATTTTTACATGAAAAATAAATAAATTACAAAAGCTACCAAGAAAATTAAATTTCAGCATTAAATGACCCATAAGAAGTTGACATGTCATTAAAAAATCAAATCAAAAACTCTCATAGTTGTGGGTAGAAAAAAAGCCCAAGTCATTACAATGCATATAAAATTTTGTGAAAATTTTAATGAAATGGTTGGTAAAAGCATCTGAGTTTGAATCTGGTAAGAAAGAAATTATGATGGACCAACTAACAATTTGAGTTTGCAATTATTTTAAGATAATAAAGTAAATCCAAAAAGAGGCTAGGTGCATAGAAAACCGATTGGTTATAAAAATACTTTTTATAGGAAGTGTTCTGGTTGGTCAATGTTAGTGCATTAAGATTAACTTACTAAAACTTCTTTTTGGGTTGCCAATTTGTTTTGAGTTTAGAGTTCTCTAAAAATATAAAAGTCAATGAAATCATTTTTAAAATTACTTTTTTATTCATGAAAATAATAAACTTTCAATTTCAAATGCTTACTTATGTAAAAAGATGCTTACCTAGAAAAAGTGGCTTGGTGTGCCATTGCAAGTTGATACATTTTGTGTAGTTTTTTTGTGAATATCAATCTTTTTCTCTCCTTCATTTTTAGATTTTGCTCATGATTCAGACGTTTTTCACTCTGCAAGGAAATATTCAGATACTTAATAAAAAATGCTTTCAATGTTTATCATTTAAATAAGATTGTCAAGCAAACTGGTTTTTATGCTTACTAGCCATATTTAGTTAATATAATTTCTCAGTTACAATTTTGAAAATATATATCAATGAGTTCTTGATATAACCTGTGATGTCATGAGTAGAATACATTAAAACTGATGTATTCTAATTATTATTTAAAATTATATATATATATATATATATATATATATATATATTCAAGTAGGTTTGGTTAAATAATTTAGACATCTGATATTTATTTACTTCAGTTTTAATCCTTTCAAGTCCCAAAATTAATTCTTTGGTGGCTGTAGAAAATTGATTAAGAAAAATTCCCAAATTTTCTTTCAAATAATTTTTATTTTCCCAAGTACATTCAATCTCATCTGAGCCCATCTTCAAGGGGGGGGGGATATCTGTGGATAACTGGAAAAAAAAATTTGAATTTGATATGCTGTAAATGAACAGTGGAAAAAAAATTTTTAAATTTACAGAGCTACTGTGTACACATCCACAAATTGACAACCCCCAAAGAAGTTTTACTAAGTTAATCCTAATGCACTAACATTGACCAATCAGTTGCATGTAAGTAGTCTGTAACCCTGTAAGCCTTTTGTGATCATCAAACTGGTTTATTCTTTCAAAAGTGGATCTATTTATGTTTATTTGTGTTTGATTATTTGTGTGTGGTGGAGGGGGGAATTTTCTTCTGTATTTGTTTGGTATGACATTTTCACACACATAGACGTGCATACATACAGGTGTATGCATTTTAGTTTGTACAAATACACCTATATAAATAATCTAAGGTTAGGCATAGTTACCCATCTATGTGTTCAAGCATAAATATATATGCATTTGTCATTCATTTTCAGTGTCAAGATTGTAGCATTACTTATGTAGCAACGTTCTCTTGACTTTCCACTAAGTACTGTGCATATATATATATATATATATATATATACATACACTCCACCCAACTATGTACATACATATACATATATATATATATATATATATATATATATATATATATGTGTGTGTGTGTGTGTGTATATGTATGTACATAGTTGGGTATATATATATATGTGTGTGTATATGTATGTACATAGTTAGGTGGAGTGTGTGTATATATATATATATATATATATATATATATATATGCACAGTACTTTCCATGGAAGTAGTGATAGAGCAGTTAAAGGCTTGCAACATCTCACCTGTGAAAGAGGGGTTACCAGGTAAAATATAATTTGTCACTCACAAGGACACAGAGACAACTTTGAACTCTACTGAGACTGGAAAATGAAGACTGGGCAGCTCCTGCCCATATGTGGCAGCAGTATTCCAATTTTAGGCTTGATCTGGCTCTTGTAAAGGTAGTGGATAGCACGAGGAGTTGGGTAATTACTGGAGTGGTACAGTGAAGCAACCATTTTTCCAGCATCTTCACTTGAGGTCTGGATTGAGTTTATGTCCCAAGAGGCATGTAGCCTACCTGAGAAAGTACACGTTCATCAAGATAGGTGAAAATTCAAGGTCCGTTCGGTGATGATACAATGTTACTATTTTGGTTTACAGGGCATTGAATGTGACCAGACTGTTTTTGCTGTTAACGCGGAATCAGAGGAGAGTTCAGCTGACAATCTCTGGTCATTTAAAGTTTTGGAGGCATAACCATTGTCATACCTGGATGTACCTATTCTATTATTAATAGACTCTCCCACACATAATAAGTAGTAGTAGTAGTAGTAGTAGTGGTTGCCAATGGGCTCAGTGGTGTTGAGCGAGTCAGTCGATATCGGACATTGAAGTACCAACCATCACAACTAGATTGCTGTGCCATTAACTCTTATTTCAAGTTCATAACGTTTTGTACGTCGAACCTAATTTAGGACGACTTATTGAAATACAAGCCTCCACTGTGAAAATTACTCTACAACACCCATATACCACTGCATAGATACAAATAATCAGATCATTTATGTAAAGTAAAAAGAGGGTTAGTTTGAGAAGAAACCCCTGGGGGATGCCTGTGTTGATTACTAGAGCTTGAAAGGACTGCCCATTAACAACTACTTTCAAGGGCTTTATAATTGAGAAGGCTCTTCCAGTGATTCCACAGCTAGAGAGATTGTACAGTAATCCTTTATGCCATACCTTTTCAAAGGTCTTTATTTGCATTAAGAGTGAACATCAAACAATTAAAATAAAGAATCATGCCACCAACACTAAGTTTTATAAAACAAAACAATATAAAGATTTCAATAAGTTCAAATTGTTGTTCTGATACTTTTCATATTTAATTAATTTTGAACAAGAAAAAAAACTTTTTTTTTTCTTAGTCCACAATTAAAGAGTGTCCTTTAATTGTTTCAGTTTTAACATTCATTTAAATTTCCGGATTTTAAATTGAAGCTGTAAACTTCACTCATTTTTAATTCACAAAGTACAAAGTTTTTTCTTCAAAAGATACTTTTAAGATGGCCAAAGAAAGTCAATAAGATGTATCAAAATGATGATTTCTACCATGACACCACTTTTTTTTAACTATCTTCCCTCTTCGGCAATGTTTATTGTTTTAAAAAGTGATGATTAGAATTGGAATAAAACCTCAACATATGACAAAAGTGAATTTAGGAATTTTTTTTCCGTTCTTGAGAATTTACAACAAAAATATTTAACAATATTTATTTTTTTAGATTGTTTATTTGCAATAATTTTATATTTACAGCATTCTAAAATCCAATAAAATTAGAACTAATGCAATGCAATATTTATCATTTACCAATTTATAAAGAAATAAATCTGAAAACAATTTTTTATTCATAAATTTATAAACATTTACTAAATTATTAAAATATGTAAGCCAACTATAATGAAATCTTTATTTATAAATTTTGAATCAATTGGCAATTAGCTGATGTTTTGCCAACCATTCCAATAAATAATATAAATAAATAAATAGTGTTTGTTATCCTTGTTGTCAAGTCTCAAGAAAGAAAAATATATAAATTCACTTTCATATGTTTAGGTTTTATTACAATTCTAATCATTGCTTTTGAAAACAATAAACATTGCTGAGGAGTGTTAAAAAAGCAGTGTCGGGGTGAAAAACCATCATTTTGACATGCTGTCTTATTGTGGGTACATTTCTCCATGTTTGCCAAAGTTTTTTTCTGAGCCACAATCAATTTCCTTTGAAAAAGTCTATCTTAGAAGAGGAAAATACTCATTTCACCTACATTACTCTTAAATAAAACAGGTTGTAAAAACATACAGCAGTTTAAAAGAATTAGGAAACGCTCCTCGACAACTGTACAACAACCAGTAAGCTCTTGATATGTGATTTATCAGAGTGAAAGTGAAGTGACAACATGTCATAAAGAAGAAAATCTGGATGTGGTTGCCAAGAGCCGAGTGAGTGTTCAATTTATATATATAAGTAATTTTGAAAGATTTAATTGTTGCAATATCGAAGTAATTCACACTTTGAGGAGAGTGGCTTGTAATTGTGGCTTCACTCTTAACAAAACAAATCCCTACTGCTTGTGCCAGTTAGAATTATAGAAAAAGACCTAAATCCCTGTAGATAAAATACCACCCTCCCATTTTATAGTTTTGAATTAACACACACTCTTTTCTCCAAAACTGACTCAGACAATCTTCTAGGTCTTATATGCAAAGTTGGGGTATCTGGTCAACTATTGCTTACCCAGGTGCTGTAGATTAACAGCACTTGTACATAGCCTAAATTCAGAATACAGTAATATTAGAAGTAAATGGTGGGTGGGGAGCTTCTATATACCATCAAATATAGTAAACAATACTGATATAGTGATTGATTTCTTTTTCTTTTATTTTTTTTTTCCTTGACTTCTATTTTTAGAAGAAATACAAGTATAAAGGAATAGTTGAACATTAAAAAATGTTACAGTACTATCTTTTCATTCCATTACAGAAATATCATGCTTGTCCCATTATAGTTTTTATATTTTCATATAAATTTCATATATTAAATCTGACAACTATTATGGGACAGATATAGTATGTAGCAAAATCCTTTTGCTATATAAGAAAAAAATCAATCTGAATCAATCAAGCTAAAATTTTAGCACATATAAACTTTAGAAATAAAGATAAGTTTTAGATTGGTTGAGGGCTGTTTTCTTTTCATATATAGAATAAAAATATATATGTAAATAAAAAGTGAATGCATATCAATAAATAAAAAGAAAGGTTATTTTTAATCGGTTGCAATGCCATTCAAACATTAATAAAATGATGGGAGTAACTATTAAATTTAGTTTAGTGTCTTCAGGCCAATACACCAAAGTCACAAAGTCTTTGTTTACTGAAAGTCAAAAGCAAGAGAAAGGCGTTCTTGTAGTAATAAATAGAACAACACATGATCTGTAATGACTGCTTTTTTTTCCCCAGTAGGGAAATTTTGCTGACTACTTGTCAGTGATGGAGAGGGTGAAAATGAGTTAAAGAACTTTCCTACTCCAGATTTTTACAGACTACTTGCTACCAAACCAAAAAATTCTTACTAAAGAATTTAGGAGTGAGAAACTCCTTTCTTTGCCAGGAAATTCCACATTCTCAATTTCATTTAATGAAAAATACCCACCCTGCTTCCTTTCTTTTATCTTGCAGGACTTGTGACTATCAACTGACCCTATCAAATCTATCATATTTCAGAAATATATTTCCACTACTTTGTGTGCCTGTATTAGGAGACTTTTTTTTTCTTCTTAATCCTTAACCTCATATTATTCTACTTTGTGTTACATACACAATGTTACAACAGTACATATAAAGTTTAGTACTATCTGTAATTTCAGGCACCTATTAGTAGGTCTTGGAATGTATATATATATAATAATATTCAAAGTTTAATCATTAAAATGGCGGATATGTAAATATTTCTGAGGCATGTCAAAAAGTCACACAAAAGGGGATCTCGCACACACAAACATATATATGTGGGGTGGTGTATTAACGATGGGTCCTAGAAGAAAGCTGTCAAAGATAAAATCTAAAATAAGATTAAAAATTGGAAGACAGTAGAAAACAGTTCACAAGTTACAAAAGAGAACTTTCAAACAATTACTGTTGGTTTAGGTAAATTCAAAAACCTTGTAAATTGTATCTACTGAAAATAAATATGAGACTTTGCAGCAGGTTGTGGTCAGTCAACTCAAAAATGCCAGATTGTCTACACAATTCTATGCCAAGCAACTACCTTTTCTCAAAGAAGAAAGCAACGCAGATACAGATCAATACTCACTGATCAACTTACACAGCATTACATGCAAAAACGTTGTTGTAAAATTGCAAATAAACTAAATTGGGAGTTTATTTACTATATAAATTGTGACTATGACTAATTACTAACACTACTATATATATCACCCATGTATAAGTGCAATGGTAGGTAATACTGTACTATTTTTATTGGCATAAGTATTTAAATTCAAACAATAATCAAATGACTTGTTACTAAATAGACAAAGTCAATTTATAACTGAAAGGAAATCAATAATATTATTATGTAATGATTATAACATAATCATTACATAATCAGTAATATTAGTATGTAGTGATTATGAAATCAATAATATTATTATGTAATTATTTTGTTGTTCTATAAACTGTTTCTAGCTTTGCAGCAGTATTATTTGAACAGATTAATATGCCACGGAAACCTTAAAACTAAATGCCAAATATAAATATACTTACTTTGTTTATATTGGGAGCAATTTCTTGTAAATTCATTGAAAAACAAAAGAGAGATGGCATTTCCACCTGCTGAAATGAATGAAATAAATTTGAATTTAATAAACTGCATTGCATATGAATTTTATCACTTTAAACAATATTTTATTGGACACTCATATTAGAGCAGATCCTCAGTCAATTTATTAAACGGTGTATTCATTTATTTTTGTCTACCAGCCTGAATATCTGAGAAATCTTATTAAAGAAAAATATGCACTCTCCGGCAAGATTTGAACCTGTGTACCTTTTAGTTAGAAAAACTGTCGTTAGATCTGATGTGCTTATACTGACTCAACCACAAAGAACTCAGCTGATTAGGCAAGGCTAAATAGTGGCATTAAGTGAAATCCTTCCCATCATAGACTCTATACATTTTCATATCTGCTCAATTTTGTATCCAAATGTAAACAAAGCAATTTCTAAAGAAGTAATGGAGTTTTTTATTAATGCAATAGATTTTATGACTTTAAATGTTATTTTAGTTGATACTCATATTTGAGTAGATGCTCTGTTTATTTACTGAACCCTATATTTATTCATTTTTCTTTAATTAAATTTCTTGAATATTCAGGCCAGTAGAGGAAAATAAAGAAATATGTCATTTAATAAATAAACAGAAGATCTACTCAAATATGAGTATCTACTAAAATAATGTTTAGAGTGATAAAATATGTCATATTAATAAATAAGAAACTTTATTACTTCTTTAGAAACTGCATATTAATATAAATGTTTACAACTTGGCTGGAAAGTTTTCACTCATTGGCCATATTAAGTAGATATTCCATGTTTCAATTAGCATTTATTCTGGTCTTTAAGAAAAAAGATTTCAGTTCCCTAGAAGTATGCAAAAAGGCCCTGAGTAGTTTATAATAATTTGGAGTCTTTCAAATATAGATCAGTACAAATTCAAATCTAATTAACAATTATTTTAGAGCCAATAAGAAAAGCTTCTTTTGAACTAAAAAACTTCTAATTTAGACTTCAGACGATTCAGCTAAATCATCCGATGAGATGGTATAATTTGAAAGGAAATGGTTCCTTAGATTTATTGACCAATCAGAATGCTTTATTTCAACTCTTTAAAAAACAGGTTATCTTATCTTACTAACCATTATATAAGGAATGATATCTATCAGTTTTATCAGAATCAAGTTTGTTCGTATCTCTGTTTCTCTCTTTCTCTCACATACTCTCTCTCTCACCAAAGACATAGGCTGTCTAGTCAGAGATAATCAACTGTTTTACTTTGCCTTCCCTACTCACATGCACACACACTCACAGCACTTCTATGACTTTCTTTTGTCAATGACCCACTGTAACTTCTTTTCCACTCAGAAGTATCCATTTTATTTCATACCCAACTTAAAAGAAGAAAAAAAAAATTGTATTATTTGTTAAAATAATTATCACTGCTTCACTTGAAATCATAATTTTATCTTCTCATTCTTTTTATTCATGCATATTTTTCATGAGTGTTTAGTTTTTGTGTCAAGCTTTTGCTTTAACTCAATTTAAACATGGAGATATTTTTATTGGTGGAAAATAATTTATCTGGAGTCAGATATCAATAATTGCCAACTCCACCACAAGTTCTTTGTAGGAAAAGATGAAATGTTTAAGGAGAATGAAATTAAGAAAATAACCAAAAAGAAGACAGAGGTTTGAAGGGAAAAACATAAATAATGTTGTTTTACAAAGTTAATGTTAAGAATAAAAAAATATGTCTTTTATGTATATCTCATACTCTATGAGTAATGGTTAACAAAATGAGTCTTGCTGATCATTACAACTGTATATCAAGTTTGATTCTCACTGTGCCTTCTATTTCTTAATTTATGCATCTGATTGTCCTCAAACAAACACTTCTGACCTCTTCTTTCTAGCAATTTCTGTCATCCATAGCTCTACCTAGTTTCTCCATTCTGATTCTAATATTGTCTATAATTTGATCAATGAAGGTTCTTGCAAGTCTAACCCTTGATCTTTTCCCAAAATGGCCACTAAACCACAGTCACCTTTCACAGATTGTGTCTGTAATCTTTGGTCAGTTCCCATATAATTCTTCATTGTGCGTATATTGATTTCAGTTGCTATTTAGTACTGCACTCAATAGTTGAGTGTGTATATTCCATCTTTTTGTTTTCAGGAATTTTGTTCAGCCACAGCAATTCTAACATTTTTGTGAAGAATTCAACCAATGATTCTAGATATAAAACTTCTTGGTAAATAACAAAATATATTTATATTTCTTTGTAAATGAACCCCTGTCAATCATTATATATTTTTTTTAATTTTGATTAGTAGTTTTCTTTTGTCTAAAATTTATTTTATCACAATTTTACTTTGTGAAACTCAAACTCACATCTTTTGAATCTCAGCTTGAAATTATCCTTTATTATTTCATATACATACTGTTTGCTTACAACCACATAGATTATATATAAAGAATGGATTTGCTGAATTTGTGACAACAGTAAAAGACAAAAGAAAAATGAGATCAACTACCCAGGGACGTGTCAACTATCAAATTGAAAAATATATTTAGTAGATCTGAATATTAAATTTTATTGATACTGTGTTATTTGCTTTTTATAGGTATGGCTTCTATATAGGAAATATTTCTTTTTTAATAAAACTTAATCTTTCTTAAAAGTCTTTAACAGGAGCAAACAAGAACCAAAGAATAATTTGTGCAATAAAGAAATAATTATTTCTTTAAACTTACTTTTGAAAATGGTGGATCCACAACTGGTTTGACTTTTTTCTTTAACTCTGGTCTTCCAATTGAATGCAGATTCTGTTTATCAAAAAATAAATCCTCACAAGACAGAATTCAGCAACATTAAGGAAAATAAAACACACATTACACAAAATCTGTAGATTATTTAACTCATAATATGATTCATTATCACAAAACATAAAAATGAACATAGATTTTTATAACCTTTGTTTAATGATATCATCCATTTAAGACAATGTCCCAAATTGATCATGCAAGACAGCTAGCCTCTCCAACCTTGCTGTAAACCCAAATAATATATACAGACATGTAAGGTCAGTTGGCAAAAGATCCAGTTAGTTAATATTGATGACAAAATGGCTTTCCTTGAGCAATAGTGCCTTAATCCATCCTTTGCAAAATACTTTCCTTGGGACCTTTTTTTTTCATTTTCTATGGCTTTGCAAGGTATTTAAAGCCAGAAAATAGTTTTAGACTCTAAAAAAATTTTTTTGAGATAATAATGATTTAGTGTTACAACTATAACTAATTAACCCATAGTTGGGGGAGAAGAGGTTGATTCATACATTTCTCAAGGGTATTTGCATGTAAGTGAATATAATGAACCCAACTGAAATTGGAACTCGGCTCTAACAATTACAAGCTATTATCTATTACACCACCACACATCCAGGCTTTCAGCACCTGGTATTCCCAAGTGATGACCCATCTAGATCCTAACCAGACTTGATGTTGCTTAACTTTGGTGATTGTACAGGATTCAACATGATGTGGCTGTAAGCCTTGGGACCTTTCATACTTATCGAAGTGTCCCTTCAACCTTTCAAAACATGCTGTCAAATACTCATTCAGGATTGCTATTAACTGCCATGTTGCTGTTTCCTTGATCTTAATATCATCCGGTCTGAATTCTCCTTTTCAGTGGTGGTTTTAGCTTTAGAGGAGAGAAAGTTACTAGAAGACAAATCTGGACTGTATATAGGGGCAGGGGGTGCTGACAGGTTTGGACATTGATGTGTTTTTCCCAAAAGTCCTGTGCAGGAATGTGACACAGTACACAAGTTTAGTCAATAACATCTCACTACCAATTGAGTAACCACATAGTAGAGTTTCTAGTTATGCATGTATAGTATAAGGTCCCCTCTGGTTGGTCATCAGATTATATCAAGGCCACACAACCAGTTCTCAAAGTATTTAAAATACCTGGTATTATTCTTACCACTTGCAACTGGTTGATGAGATAACTCATAAAATTTCTTTATCCAAAGTAAATGTAATATGTATGTATATATATATATATATATATACACACACACACACACACATATATATATATATATATATATATATATATTAATGTATATTTGGTCAGCAACCTTTCTTGTAAACATATTTCATTAGATATGGCAGACAAGGAAAATTTAATTAATTTTTTTTATTTAGTTTTTTCAGCATTTTTTTCCATTTGTTGAGAGTAAAGGAGTACAAAAATTTTCCATAATTTTCATTGTTCCAAGCACTTTCCGACACTTCTTTAGCCATTTTCAAGGAGGTTTTGTTTTAGATGTTGTTAGTTTTTCCTCATGTTTCGACTGTTTAAGTTGTATTTTATTTTTGTGTTGTTTGAATCTGAATGTTTATTCTGATTCTTTGCAAATTGAATGCAGCTGGAATTTGAGTGAGTGTCTTTCTATTTTTAAAAAACTTTTAACACACCATTCCCACTATTAAATAGGGTGAGGTTGATAGTAGGGGAGAAATGTTTAATATACAGGGCATCTCTTATAGAATTTATATATGTGTGTGTGTGTGCGCACATTGTTCAGTTAACATCTCAATAAGTATTTAACTTGATGAAAAAAGCATTTATTTTAAACAAGAAATATTGATTTTTAATCATAATATCCTCCTTAGTGAATATCAATCACATATGCACTTCAACGTGGGGTAATGATTAGAAAGTTTGTCTCACTACATCAATTACAATTGCGTAGTGAGTTTGATCTTCACTGGGTGTTTCCTACTTTTAGCCTTATGCCACATATAAGCCATACTTATTAAATCACCATAGGCCAAATATTATACATCGGACGTTTCAGATCAAAATTCAACTAATAACTATGCCTCAGGCTACAAACTTATTGATCTAACCTTGTATATCAAAAATGATCACTTCATTTTGCCCAAGGAAGAATTTTACTGATCCTTTGTTACAGGTTTCAATTCTTTATAATACACAAACACTATAAGGCTGAAAATCCAAAAGGACATTTAAAAACAACAACAAGCATAAATAATAATTTATATTTGGACAAATGTTTTGATCTTTGTTTTTGTTCTCACAACATTTTGGCCATTGTGTCCTTCAGCTTTCTCCAGGTGTCAATCCAGGCAACCTTTAGAGAGTTTTAAACTTAACCCTTTATTCAATCAACGTGGAGTAGATTGTTCTTGTTCCACTGTCCATGCCTTGGGATTATCTCATCTTGTTCTTATTTAACAGATCGTGACAGCTATTAGGGAGATGTTATTAAATATACTTTAATGCTTAAAGAAAACTTATTCAGCATTATTATTGTTTAGGTAATAAGCATTATAACATAGCACAAATAGCTATATTGTGGGAAAAGGAATTTTCGACAATATATGCACTTTTTTTATGTATTTATGTTTATTTTTTAAATTTTATCAAAAATGACATTCTTGTACATGTAGTTATGAATAATATTATACATTAATTACTATTTTTTTTAATTAATAATTATTTGTGCTCAGTTGTTGATATTAACAGCTATCAGCTGATGTGTTAAAATTCTGGAATAATGCAATAATAAAAATTTAAATTTCATCTCTCTGATAGATGTTGCGATCTGTTAGTACTGTTCAGTTATTTCTCACCCTGTTTCTGCTGAGTCTGTACTATCCAGGCCAGGGACTGAACTCACAATTCAGACAGAAATTATAAATATTCACAGTTTTTGCCTAAATCTTGGATCTTGCTAAATTGTGAAACAACTGAAACAGTTTAACATTCACTAAGCACTGACTTATACAGAAACAGACATGGTTGTGTAAAAGTGTTTGAAATATTCTTTGTAACCTTTGATCAAACATGTATTAATGAAGAATTGTTGCCTGAGTATGCACACATTGTGTGTGTGTGTGTGTGTGCAAAGGTGACAGTACATTTGATTCATTGTAAATATTGTATTTCAACTAACAGAACTATATTTTATCTCAGGTGATCCAGCAAAAAAAAAAATCATCTTTACAGCATCTATATAGCATATTTTCAGAAATATTTTCACTCAGACTTTTATGAATAATAATCTAATTCTTTGAGTAATACTGGGCTTAATTCCCAATCATTAATAATCCTTTCTTACCTGATTTGCATTATAAAATCACTTACATATCTATAGTGAAATTATTAGCAAATATGATCTACAACTAGAAATTATGACTGATTTTCTTTAATTACTCATCTCAATTAGAAACACCTCAATTTATCCAAGTCATAGAAATGCTTATCGAATCTTTTACTCATTAGGAAATTCACCTTTGCACTTTGTACTTTGCCTTGTGCCATCTTGTTGTTGTAGATGTTTGAATGTTTGTTTCATTCTTTGAATTTTATTTTATTTTTTATTGTTATTTGTTGCTTGAGACTGTGATGTTTTCACCTTTCCTTCATTGTGCTGTGTGTATTTTTTGTTCTTCCAATTGCTATTAATTATCAGACTTCTTAATTCACCCCATCCTCTAAACTTATTTAATTTAGAAAATGTTTACCATAGAATGTTGCTTTTCAATGCTGAAAAATTGATGCAAGCAAGAGTACATTAAGTTTTACCATTCCGATTTTTAGTTGGTAGCAGACATCAGAACTTATAGTCATAACTTATATGAATTCTTTCATATTTCATGTGCTTTTATTTATTTATTTTTTTCTTTCCACAGGTTAATAGGAGTAGATAGGCTCACTTATCATCCAGTCTGCACTCCTTCCATTGTCTGTTGAATAGGGGTAGAGGTTCATCCCTTGTTCCCTGATCGGCATATGGTTTATCAGTTCTTTGGTTTTCTTCTACCAAGAACACAATGATTTAACTTGTCTCTACTTTTTGGTGATCAAACTAACCAGTGACTGTGACTTTCCATTGTGCAGGTACCAGGTTGGTCATTAGAAGCCCAATCACTTTTGTAAAGCCAATCAACAGTTGCATAATATCAGGGTATCTGTAGTGCCATGTTGCATATGGGTATGTGTCCCTGTATGTATTTCCAATGGAAAACCCTGAGGCCACATTATGCTCTGCTCTCAACTATACACTGGCTGGTCTGTATTGCCATCGACAATAGATAGTGATAATTAGAGTGCTTTTTTCTCTATCTCCTAAAAATAAATCTCATGGAAATCACAACAAAAGGAAATAAAATTAAACAAACTAACAAAAAAAAAACATCTATTCCACTCAATATCTATTTCTCCAATATTTGTGGTATCCATTCCAACATCAAGCAGCATAGAATCTTTTCTCCTGAAATGGTCACCAGATATCTTGGCCCTTTGTGAAACCAACTTGAATTCAGGCATTGCTACCAATGAATTCTTGCTTCCAGCCTATCTTCCCCTTTGCTGAAATGATTCCAGCATTCACATGCATGGCTTTGGTGTTTATAACCAGGATAATCTTCTGATGGCCAGGGAATTGTCAATTACTCTTTCATCTGCTTTCGTCTTTCACTACTAAACTCTGTCAGCTATCTCTTTTTCCTTTATCGCTCCCCCTCTTCCCAAGACTGAAGTATATTAGATGCAATAGCTGACAATATAGAAAAGGCACTTTCTCTCCATCCATCTGCAAATATTTTTGTCTTTGGTGACTTTAATGCTCACCACAGCACATGGCTGAAACATTCTAAAGGTACTGATGTTGCCGGTATACAGATATTAAATTTTTTCATTGCCCAATCCCTCACTCAAATTGTGAACTTCCTTACTTGTTTCTCTAGCCAAACCAAGCAACAGGCTTCTCTACTGGATTTATTTCTTAACTCCTCTCCTTGCTCTTGCTGAGCTTCACAATACTGCCCTCTTGGTAACTCAGACCATTTTGTGGTAGCTATTGATATCTCCTTCCAAGCATCCATTAAAACAAGAACCCCATATCCATAAGACCTCTATCTATTACCATCATTTTCTTTGTGACACTCAAGGATTTTCTTTGTGATACTCCAGGATTTTCTTTGTGACACTCCTTGGACTGACATCTTCAACCTCCCAATAGAAAATTGTGCCACTGAGGTTTCTTCTTGAATCAAAATCAGCATGGACACTTTCATCCCTTCTCAGAAATACCAGGTAAAACTGCAATCCACTCCATGATTCACATCAGCATGCTCAGCTGCTATAGCAGAGGAACCACTGTTTCCAGTTATACCAGCATGACAGCTCTCATCATAACAGGTGCCTATTTGCTACTGCTTGTAACAAATGTAAGTGAGCCCTTGAAGTAGCTAAGTGCTTGTTTACTGAGAGAATGACACAACACAACCCTCTAAAAACTTTGGTTCTCATGATTACACAAAGTGGTTCATCATCTGTCATTGTAGGGTCTTTTCTCAGACAAGCAATACAGCTTTCATTTCTCCAGGTCAACTGCTGATGTACTAATGATAATAAGAGTCTATCATGCTCTAGATCAAGGGTCAGCAACCTACAGCCCGCGGGCCGGATCTGGCCCATGAAAGCATTTTGACTGGCCCACGAGCCTGATTACCAATGACTATTTTTAATATGAGAGACGAGGCTTTCAAATTCGACAAAAGGCCTGCTATTATCTTCCTCTGATCCACCCAACCGAATTTGAATACTATGACCGTAAAAACACGATCAAAACCCATTCACCTCCATTTCAGCATAAAAAAAATAAAAAATAAACATAAAACAAAAACTAAGAGCCGATTTGACCGACCAACCAACAGACCAGCGACAACTTCAAAGGGACAATGTTGTATCAGTCGGCTTTCTATTTCATTCCTCCAACAGTGACCCCCCGCCTCATCGCAGCAGGGTAGCAGAAATCTAAAGACAGTTAAACATACGCACATTATACATACATGCCTCATGAATGTGTGGATGATACATGTGTCGTATGTATGTGTATATATTTTGCAACTATTTGTACTCGTATGTATGGGTATATGTCCTTTGTTTTTGTTTGATGTGTGTGTGTGTGTGTGTGTGTGGTTCGTTTGTGGAACAATTTTCAATAACAGTTTCAAACCTACATGCCATAATTTCATCCATTTCACTTCGGTTGATTTTTTTTCACTCTGAAGTATTTTGACGTTCTTTGAGGAAAAGTAATTTTTGTTAGATGTTTTTTTAATTTTTAGATTTTCTTTTGTTTTTCTGATTTCTCAATATTTATATTCATTATGGTTTTAAATATTTAGGTTGGCAGGGCTCTGCATATGTAATTTTCCTTAATTTTTCATTAATGGCCTTCGTCCGGCCCGCGACCTGTCATTATAACACAATCCAGCCCGCGGGGTCGGATGAGTTGCCGACCCCTGCTCTAGATAAAAATAGTGAAGCCCAGGCTGTAGCATTGGATATCTTGAAAGCCTTTCACAGTCTGGCATTCAGGTCTTCTCCACAAACTGAAAAATTACTGTATCTCTGGGCACATTTTTGAGCTGATCCAATTGTTCGTTTGTCCTGAACAGCCACTGACCTACATCCTTTCGTACTAACATGAGTGTCCTCCAGGGCTCCATCCTTGGTCCTACACTGTTTTTAATCTTCATTAATAACCTTCCCAATGACATCAGCTCTCAACTTGGTATCTATGCTGACGACACTATCACTTACTTCTGCCTCAAGAGTAAGGTTGATCAGTCCAATAAGGTCAAAATGGCAGCTGATGTACAAAACAACCTCAAGACTATCATAAATTGGTGCAAAAGATGGCTTGTCATCTTTAACACCTCCAAAACTAAACTTTTCTCCATTAATCATCTGAGATACCCCACTTCCATCAGCATGGCTGATGCTAACCTCCAGGAAAGGGACTCAATGTGCCTTCTTGGGCTAACGATCTCAGCTGACATGAAGTGGAAAAGCTATACTGAATTCATTAATAGGTCAGCTGCTAAGAAAGTTGGTTCACTATGACAAGGAAGACTATTTTTCTCTCTAGAATCTATCTTACATATCTACATGTCTACCATTTGTCTATGCTTATAATACTACTGCCACATATGGTCCAGTTCATCTGCTATGTACCTTGAGCACCTTTATAAGATAGAAAGAAGAATCACCAATATTATTGGTCCTGATCTGGCAGCTCAGCTCTAGTTACTTTCCCACCACCTTAAGGTTGCCTATGTCTTTTCTATGAATACTTTCATGGTAATTGTTCAGATGAGCTTTTCACTATGGTTCCTAGACTGTATGAACTTAAGCGCAATTCTAGACTGGCAGTGAGATCACATCAATTTACAGTTGAACCAGCTAGAAGTAGCTGGAACTTCTTTACTAAGAGTTCCTTTTCTCACACTTCTCACTTGTGGAACTCTCTTCTGGCTCCTTGCTTTCCAGCCAATTTTAATCTTCAAAAATTTAAATGCAATGTCAATTGCTATCTACTGTTCTCCTAACTGCTCTTTTCTCTTTCTATTTATTACTAATGTTTCTGTTCCTAATTCCTCCACACCCTGTAACCCCTTGTAGCTGTAAGGTGTTGATTGGGGTGACACTGATTTAAACAAAAAAAAATTATTTAAACCATTATTACTTTAGTTTAATATTTTAAAGGCCCTTTTTTTTGATAACATATGCAGAAATTATATGGATTGTTGGGTAATATTTTAGTGCATTTTATATGCGATTCAATTCATCCATTAAAATGGTAATTTCACTGCATATAGGTTTGGTATAGGAAATAAACTCTTACTTTTATCACACAAAATTATTTGTTAGACTCAAATTTCAAATTTAAATCTATGTGTGTTGCTTTGCTACATGTGGATGGATATATATATATAATAAAATGTGTACTTTAGTAACAACCCTTCATTAATACATGTTTAATTAAAAGTCAGAAATAGGGAATGTTAACTCTATGTGAAAATCATATAGGCATTGTAGAAAGCAAGGTCTCTATGCTTCAACTTTTCCTCCCAACACAAGCATTTGAATATAACTCGTATTTTCTGTGTCTCTTATTACAAAAAGCATAATTATTGATTTGAACAATGGACAAAATGTCAATGGATCAATTTGAGTTCACAGATTGGACAAATTATGATTTTGAATTAGTTTCTTCAAAACTTTAAATTTATGGAATCAAAGGAGACATGTTAAAAAGTGGGAGTTTTACTAAATCAAGTAGAAATATGCATTTAACTTTACCAGTCCAGTAAGTACCTGACTCTTCTTGTTATCCTCTGCCTTTACTAGATCAGGCTGAAAATGAAATACTGCAGCCATATTTGGGTGAGAAATGCCCAGTCTTTACTGTCCTGTCTAGAGAGAGTCCAAAAGCCCTGAGGGTGATGAATTATTTATCACACTAAAACCATTTTCTCAGGGATGAAACATTTCAAGCCTGCCTCTTACTAATCTATTGCTAATTCCATGGAAAGTGTTCAGACGAGCTACATTCTTTAATTCCTTAGAAAAAAGTTCTTGAAAATAACTGAGATTATAAAAATACTTGAACAGAAATATAATTTTTGGACAGTTCATACATAATTTTGATTCAAATACAAACAACTTATTCAAAAATTAGAAAAATACAATAAAGCATTAGCCGGACGTTGGCAGTTGAATATAAGAAAACTTGTTTAAAAATATAGGAGAGTATACTTTACTAGTATATCATGAGTAGAAATAAACAGAAATTAAATTTATGAATGGTGAAAAGAGAAAAGGAAATAGAAAGACAAAGAATCAACAGATATTTTTCAAAAGTGGAAACTATTCACTAAACATTTTTAATAATGAAAACTGTTTGATAAAAATTTCAAAGTGGAAACTAATGTTTTAAAAAATGGCAACCATTTAAGAAACATTTTCAAAAGCAGTAACTATTCACTAAACATTTTTAATAATGGAAATTAATTAGTGAACATTTTCAAAAACAGAAACTATTATTGAACATTTTTAAAAGGGGAAAATATTTAGTGAACATTTTCAAAAGTGGAAATGATTTTGTGAACATTTTCAAAAGTAGAAATTACTTAATAAACATTTTCAAAAGCAGAAATTAATGTTTTCAAAAGCAGAAACTAATAAACAATTTCAAAAGCAGAAACATACACTAAACATTTTCAAAAGTGGAAATTATTTAGTGAAAATTTTAAAAGGTGGAGACAATTTAATGAACATTTTCAAGAGTGGCAAGTATTTAATTAATATTTTCAAAAGCAGAAACTAATGTTTTAAAAAGCAAAAATCTATTTAATAAACATTTTCAAAAGAGAAAACAAATAATGAATATTTTCAAAATCAGAAACCATTTAATGAACTGCAAGCAACCAATTAAAAACTGAAGCATCAAGCATTGCATTCAGTTACCTTTTTTCTGGCAATATTTGTTCGTAGTTCTTCTTCCTTATGTTCTGTTTTTGCTTGATAAACAAAATTATCCATAATCATTTAGAGTCAGTATACAAGTTGAATAAACTCAAAAAAAGTTTCAGCCACATGAGGCTGACAAATAAATAACAGTACAGATCAATTACACATACTTTTTCAATACTGGTTATCAATAAGAATTTCAATCTGTGTATATTGTAGACACTAAGATTATTGACATAAATCTTTATAAATATTACTGTGAAAACAGTAGCAGCATCTCCCAGAAAGCCTGGTGTCAGGTATAATTTCAAAGCAGAACCATTATTACCACTAGTCCTAGATTCTCCAGCAATAACACATAATATCTTGCCCTAATAGAAAGGCTTACAATATACCAATTGCTTACCCTACAGATGAGTAAGACCCCCACCAAAAAGAAACTACCTTTCAGTTTGATATTTTCAAACTCAAGTATAAAATTAAACAATGTCTATCTTTTGGACTCCAGTTTCAACTGGATATCCTACCTTTTAGATTCTTGTGTAAAATTGGATCTATAACTTTATTTATTAATTCATTGTGATTTTTGTCCTAAAAAAAATTCTATTTCATAGTAAATAAACCATAAAGGGTTCATATGTTATTAAATGACCCAACCTAGCTCCATGATATCACCAAACATTGTTGGTTTTCTGCCAGAATCTGGAAGTGCCTGATTAATGTGGATGCAGCCTTAGTCTGAGCTTGGAGTTTTTTCATATATTCCCTATATTTTTGTTGACAATAAATAATAGTTATAATTGGTATATCTAACAACAATTCATTGACTCTGGTGTCCAGTAATAAAAAAAAAATGTGTATATTTGTGTGTAGATACAGTGTGTAGTCAGTTCATGCTGTGTCAGAATTTTCTGGTGAGGAGAATGGATACACACACAACAGGATTAAAGACAACATCTGTCAAAGAGGGGATTAGTCTTCTTGTAATGTTAATCTAGCACAATGGAACACCATAGCTATGTATGCAGTGAATGTGGTGGTGACCTGGTATCACAAGGCAGAGAGAGGCTTTTGGGACTGAAGCCAATAGCTACAGCAGATGGTTCCCCTGATGAAATCAATGTGTCCATTAACAAGGTAGGCATTCAAATTAGAGAACATTTGCTGTGATTTCACCTGAAGAGGGATGGCTATCTGCTAGGTGTACTTGCTTAAGTCAACATTTCACATTCACTGAATATTTTATACATCATTTGGTCAGTTGAACCTTGACACCCCTGTGGAGTACAGGGCCATAGCTTCACCATCTTAGGTATTGATGTTGTGGTAACCATAGCAACTAGGTTTTCAGAGTGATGTTGCCAGTTCCATGACCAATTGGCTTGAATTCAAAGGTGTCCTTCTTCTAGACTGATTTCCAACAAGGCTAGAGATCCCAGCCTGCTTTGTTATTTAACCCATAACTGGAGGGGAAGAAGAGATAGATTAATATTTTACTCATGAGTATTTGTGCAAAAGTGAATGCAGCAGCCTTGGTCAGAATCTAAACAAGGCTCGCCAATCCCACTTTATTTTCCCAATAAAGACTGTTACGTGTCTATATCCATTCATCAATATATAAGAAAGCGTCATGTTATTTTTGTTTAATATCTTGAGGGTAAAAAGCAAGAAACCAAATTTTCAAAAAATTTCACATTTTTTTTAACACTCACAGACATGCCATCACCTCCCTCTGTCTTTTTTACAAATACTTTCATAGTAACTGCTCCGAGGAGCTACTTTCACTGGTTCCAAAACTTCATGAATTTAAGCGTTCTACTAGGCTGATATCTCGCTCACACCCTTTCACTGTCGAAACTGTTAAATGAAGCCGTCTCTTTTACTCCAATAGCTTCATGTCTCACACCTCTCGCCTGTGGAACTCCCTCCCCTTTTCCTGTTTCCTTGATAGCTATATTCTCCAACTATTCAAATGTAATGTCAATCGACGTCTCCAGATGCCTTGATCTATCCCCTATCCTTCTCTTCATCCTTTCCTCTATCACTCCTATCTGCTCTCGCTCCAACTCTCTGTAATCCCTTGCGTGCTAGTGGCTTCCTGCTTTGTTTGGGGTGAAACGCTTAAAAAATAAATAAATAAATAAATAAAAGAAATTAAATTCCCAGAGATAACACCAAAAATGAGAAAAATAAAAATTTAAATCTTTTTGAAGATTCCCAGATTCATTCTTATTACCTCAATATTTGCATCATTAATATTTAATTTCTTGATAGATTTTCCTGGAATACAAGCTAATCATTTGAAATTTAAATTCATTCAAAAATCTTGAAAACTTCCTATTGATTCATGTGTGGGTAGTGCAATGGATATCTGCCTAGAAAAGGGGAGCTGGTGGGTTGAGTTCAAATTTTGGAAAAGTAGCATTCACTTTTGTGCTAATTCCCTTGGAAAAGGCATGTCACTTCTCCCCCACCCCAGCCTGAGGTAAATAGCATGGTAGCCTTTGGTGACAATGAGACTGAGAGAAGCAAAACTGAATTCTAAAACCTTGGCTATCGGTGATGCTCACACCTGGGACTGGCTCTGGGAGTCCGCTGAGAAAAAATCCAGATTTTGATTCACTAAGGCAGTTCACGGCTGTATTCACTAACATCCTGGGAACTCCTATGATGGTGCTGAAACCATGAGTATTGGCACTTACTTTTATATATTGGATCATTTTAACAACATAACAGTCTGCCTCTCCCCCCCATATCTACCTACTCAGAGTGATTACATCATTCAGAGCACAACTCCATAGTCTCCTGAGACTGATGCATAACTAGTAAGTATTTATTCAATAAAGTTTTATTCAATTTTATTTTGTTTACATACTGACATGTAACATGATACTTTATTGAACTGTAATTGAGTTATTGAGGTTATTTCTAACTTTTGCAAAACATTTTTATTAAAATGATGTACTTTAGAAAATACTTACCAACATTTTAGTTTAGTAAACACTTTCACACTTTATTTAAAATATATAACTTAACATAGATTGACTTCATGAGCAAAGATTTACTAACATTTTCCATGACTGATACACATTGATAGGCCCTCCCACATCTGCAGAAAGCAAGTGCGGTAGCCCTCAAGCCTGTGCTAATGGCATTTTAAGGTGCAGAGCAGCGCATGCATTAATTAACTGCATTTTTTAAAGCAAAGGTTTATGTGCCATAGTGCAGTAAGGTAGTTATGTTAGCAAATCTGTGGTCATAGGTTTTATGTTGGAGTGTCCTTCTCCTAGGTAGATGACAAAATCAGCCTTCCAAACAAGACTTCTGAAAACATGGCTGACTACTCGTGCAGACTTGATATTTACATAATTATTAATTTGACAATTCATAATACAGCACTCAATATATTCCTTACTGTCAACAATTTTACATAAAAAGGAAAAGCAAGTTTGTACGGATTTGTATGGATGTGAGGAACAACAGTTAGCAAGAGGCAAGAAGAGAATAGAGAGAAAGTTGAGTCAAAGAGAAGAGGGGGGGAGACAAGGGAAGGATGGTTTGCCAATATGAAGGCTAGCTAGTCATTTTTATGTTACAAATTAAAAAAAAACTTTTATATATTGGAAAACACAGATATGTTTCCTTGTAAAATCTATTGTTTATTTATGCAGATATCAAAAAAAAAAAAAAAATGACAGTACTAGTTATTGTATTTGATGGCATAAAAGACTCACAGGGAAACCAAAAGTTCCAAGAAGTAGAACATAAGATAAAACTTTCCAAAACAGAAACCATGATCTGGAATTAGAATTTATCCTGAATCCATCATAAAATTCAGAATGCGGAATTAATTTTTTTTTTCTATTCTGATCACTTTCACCCCATGCAAGGCAGTAAAGCCACTAAGGCACAAGGGGTTACTGGGTGTGGAAGAATTAGGAACAGAAACATTAATAGTGAGCAGGAAGAGAAAAGAGTAATCAGGAGGACAGTAGATATCGATTGACATTGCATTTAAATTTTTGCAGATTAAAGTTAACTGGAAAGCATGGAGCTGGAAGGGATTTCCACAAGTGAGGATTGCAAAAGAACAAACTTTTAACTGCTCAACTGTAAATTGATGAGATTTCAACACCAGTTTAGTATTGTGTTTAAATTCAAAAAGTCAAGATACCATAGTGAAAAGCTCATCTGAATAATTACCATGAAAGTATTTATAGAAAAGACAGAGGCAACCTTACAGCAGTGGGAAAGTGACTTAAGCTGTGCCATCAGATCAGGACCAGTAATATTGCTGATTCTTCTTTGGATCTTATCAAGGAGCTGAAGGTAAATAGCAGGGGCACCAGGTCATATGTGGCAGCAATATTCTAAGCATGGACAAATGGTAGACTTATAGATATGTTCTAGTTTAAAAGCTGCCATTATCAGGTGGCATTTAAGCTAGCTCCTGCTGAGGGATCTCTATTGGGCCTTTATCACAATAGGTAAGGAGGAGTAGATGTGATAGGCAACAATAAACTACAGAACTCAAAATTGATCACTGCATTTAAGTATTGCGTTATATATATATGTTTACCTTTTAAAAGTTCAACAATAATTCTTCTGCCATCACTTAATTTAAAGACAATTTGATGTACTTGGGTCCTTACTGTACAAATTATTTTTATTTCATGGCTGACTTTTGCCAGATTTTGCAATTAATTTCAATTATTCCCAAATTTATTTCCAAGTTATAAAAGCGCATTAATGAAATTTGATGTTGACTTTCCACAGTACTTCAAATGAAAGGTTAGGAAGGAAACCTGCATCAATACTGGAAAGATTGATAACAGTGGACTTGAGAAGACCATTTTCCTGAAAAGCTGTTTTAAGAGAAAGATTTTATAAATTTTAACCGACAGTAATGCTAGCTGTTCAGTCAATGAAAGGCAAATGTTTCTTTATAATGGAATGACTAATATTACCAGTACCATTTCAGCAGATTATATTCAGAAAAATGTTTTTAATGTACTTAAGCATGTAATGTTTAAAACAGGCTATCATTAGCTTACAAAACAATACTTAAACTGCAGCAGAAACATTACTGTATATAAAAAGCAAGTTTGCAGTACAGCTGAGCATAAAGCAAGAAATTACAATGTAAACACAATGACAACTACAGTTATTCTTCTTTGGCCACTTCATATGCTGTACATATTATTTTTGCAGGTTTAAGATTGTGTTCTTCAGGTTAGTGTTTTACCATTACCAGTATTTCATTTCAGTTACAACGCTTTCTTTCAAAATCTGTCTATATTCCTGAGATGAGGTATTGTAACTATTTACACTATTTACATTGTTCAGATTGTTGTCCTCTTTATTGTCATATTCACAATGTTTCGGCCATTGTATGTTCCAGCCTTCTTCAGGTGATCTATGTTAGAATTTCAAACTGAACCCTTTATTTAGTTCACAGGGGTAGATTGTTCTAGTTCTATGTGCTGTGCCTTTTCTAGATATCTCAGTTTTCAATTAATTCCCTTTAGTAACTCAACTCTCCAAGTTTTTTTTTTTTTTTTTTTTTTGTGGCCAGGTATTGAACTCACAACTCTTTGAATCAAGTCACTTTTGAACTACTTCAACCAATACATTCATCCACTTGGCCATGTATCCTTGAGGGAACAAATAATGGTTTCAGTTTAAAATTCCAATGTATATCACCTGAAGAAGGCTGGAGCATATAACAGCCAACACATTGTGAATATGATAATAAAGATGAGGACAACTGTCCAAACAATGTAACTAGTGTGCAGTATGATCCATCTCCCCCATTAATGGATCTGTCTTGAACACATATATTCTGGAGAATTCTGCTGATATGCAGAGTATACTGAAGCTTACTAATAAGCAATACGCACTTTCTAGAACAATTCTATGACAATTTAATATACTCTCATTGTTAACCATTTTTGGGAATGACTAATTTACTCTGTCTAGAGAAACTTATTATTATTGACCCTCCAAAAAACTAATTGTGATTACAAAGTCTCTACTACAACAAGCATTATGAAAGGGACAAAGAGTATTCGTTGACATCACAAAAGTGGCAATGAATGCTCGTTGACATCTCAAAAATAGTGTAAATATCCCTTTCTTTAATTTCCAGGTGGTTAATGACAGGGGCTGTACTGAGTCATATTTAGGTATGGTAAATCAATTCATAGTGACAGATGTTGCCAGTATATTGTTATGATACTTACTTTTACAATACTGATTATAATAATCATGATAATATTAATAATAGCAATGTTGCTTAAGTAAATAATATATATTATGAAATCAATCTAGTGAGAAATGACTATATAAGATAAAAATTATAGCCTATGGTAGTAAGTGTTGGGATAAAATTAACCTACAGGAGGCCCTCAACTTTGCATACTGGATACAGGGTAATTTTGGAGGCATTTTTTAAAGCTGTATCTTATATGCCATCAAATACAGTGTTCATTAAGCATAGCTTACTTTTTCCGTAAAGTCACAAATTTTGGGCAGCCAGAGAAGATCAAAGAAGGAAATGAGTATTAAAATGAATAATCATGTGAATGATTAATAATCCATTTTTCCATAACAAAAATAAATTCTTTACCGATGAGGCTTGTCATGTGTTTTTACATTTTGTTAAACACAAGACTACCATCAATAATATAAGGCAAAGAATTATTAATATCAGTTGGTGACCAAATGTTTTAAATTCATTTGTTGATACACCTTATAACACTGTCAAAAGAAAGATTGTTGAAAATAAAGCAAAACAGATTATATTTCATTAGTAGGCAATAAATGAATCATGACTACAGGGTGCGACGGGTAAATTGTCGCCACATTATTATTTTTATTTTGCACATACACATTGTTTTTGATTTTGTTGACTGCACAGCATAGTAGGGTCAGTTGGGCATCATCTGTGAGAAAAAGAGCACAATGACTCAATTCATCCTACCAAAAATTTGGAAACTGCATGCTGTACTGATTGGCTTTTGTGCCATAACCTCTAATATAAGCATTTCAGAGTGTTTGGGTGTCAATCTGAGGACAGTACAGAGGATTCAGAAAGAGTTGGATGAGTCTAATGGTGATTACGAAGGTATGGCAGCTCAGAAAACTCACTCTGATCATTCTAATAAGAAAAGAACTCCTGAATTTGTTGGTAAGGGTCTTAGTCTCAACATGGAAGCCTACATCGTGCCTTGGGGAGTTAGTGCTGCTCTGGGTCAAGAGAGTGGCTGCTGGAAGACCCTATGTCTGGCAACAGGACTCTGCACCATGTCACACAAGCAGGAGAACTCGGTTATGGCTGTCAGACAATTTCTGCAACCATGACACCTCTTACATGTGGTCCCATATCTCCCCAGACTGCAACATCCTTGATTATTATGTGTGGGATGCAGTTGACAAACAGACCAACAAAACTCCTTGTAACACCAAAGATGAACTGAAAGCAAGGATTATAGCAGCATTCACCAACTTAAACAAGGAGACCATTCAGAAGAGTCGCAGAAGATTCCAAGGTCATTTGGAGCCATGGCTGAAGTCAAAGGCAATTTTATTGAATAAATTTACTCTTTAATATTTCAAGATATTTTTGTGCAATTTTGGTAAATATTTCTGTTAAAATGAGATGCCAATGTTATTTTCAATTTTTTTTTTGTGTAATTTAGACGACAATTTATATATCGCACCTAGTGTTTATTTATATTGTTTACGTGTGGAATATCATCCGGTTGTTGTCACGACATTTCAGCCATTGTGCCCTCTGGCCTTCATGAGTTTCTTGTCAATTTGGGTCAGGTTTGCCTGTTGCCCAGTTCACACTTCTTCCCAGTTTTTGAACAAGAGCAGAGGTTTAGTCCTTGTTTCCTGTTTAGGATTGGGTTTCCAGTTCCTTCTCATTTTCTTTCACCCCCAGGAACCTCTTGTGTCTTAGTGGCGTTATCATCTTGCTTGGGGTGATTTTAAAAAAAAAAAACCTACAGGGGATTTCAAAATGAACTCTTTATTTAATCTATGAGGGTAGATTGTTCTCATTCCACTGCTCATGTTTAGGGATATCTCATCAAGTTTGTATTTTAGTACAGCTCAGTCATCGCTCACACTATTTCCACTGAGTTTAAGTGCATACTGCCCGTCCGAGGGATTGAACTCAGAATTAATATCTCATAATATTCACAAACCAATGCTTTAACCCATTAGGCTATTTTCCTGTGGTTTTTCAATCAAACAATAAACAAAATAAAATAATGAAATTTTTATAAAAAAAATGAAGTAAATTTCAAATTCATGAGGAAAGGTAGAAACTATCCCTTATGCCAAAATATGGGTTAAATAGTAGGAAGACTGGAATCTCTCAGATTACAGCCAGGAGGACAACTCTGTATTCAAAATTGGATATAGGAAGGAAAAAATAATCTACTAACTTTCCATAGAAGTCATGGCAATTCGCACATAATAAAGAAATCTATTGAGAGCTATGATTGCTTATATCTTGAAGGGATATGGTATTTTAAAAAAAAATGTAATTCAGTGTAAAACTATAATTTTTCTGTTATTAAGATCCAAATAAGAAAAATATTTGTGTTCTTAGAAAAAGCAATTTATGAAAATATTCACTCTCCTCTAGAAGTATAATGTCTACTTTTAATTAATTAGTTTTAATGTCTCCTTTTTATTAGACACTTGACATGGTCAAGAAGAATGAGAACAATCTGGAAATATAGGAACCAGTAATAAGGAGTGCCAGAGAAAAGTGATAATAACAACAAAAATTGCAATATGAGCTCTGGTAAAAACATGATGGTAACAGCAAAAAATTGCGAATATCAGCACTGGTCAAAAATGATTGCTGAGATATTAGGTTTATAATACCAAGAAATTCATAAACAGATGCCCTCAAGGACAGTGGATAAATGTGTTGGTTAGATCCAGTGACAGGACCCAAAAAGTGTGAATTCAATACCCGGTTAAGGCAGTGGAGAACTTGGAGAGGGGAATTAACAGGAGATAACTGATAACTGATATGGAACTAGAACAGTCTATCTCAGTGAGCAAAATAAAGGGTTCAGTTCAACATTCCAACCACCTAAAGAAGGCCAGAGCATACAACGGCTGAAACGTTGTAATAAATATATTGACAAAGATGAGGACAATGGTCCGAATAATGTAAATAGTGAACAATCCGCCCCCATAGATTAAGCAAACAGTTCAATTCAAAATGTTCTGTAGGTTAACTGGCTTGACAAGCACTTAATGAAGGCTAGTAGGCTTAAATGTTATGAAGAAAACAAAGATGAGAAGAATAGTATGTATATTAGTAATGATAACTCATCCCAGGAATTCACTATAACCATGTGAAAAAAATTTAGCTCTAAGAAAGTTATGGAACCAAATTTGGATGAAGTTGGTGAGTTGCACCCTGTTTTCTTTTTCTTTTTTACCTTTGTCAATGTTCCGTTTCCGGGAAATCTTTCTTGTTACTTTCATTTTTGTTTTTTCCATCTAGAACAAATAACATGAAAAGACAAAGTATAATATGTCTGTAAGAAAAAGGATTTGGCAAGCAAGAATTAAAATATAGATTATTTGGGATTTTATTCTCAAAAATTATGAGAATAATGTTTTTATTAAAGTACTTGCAAAGATTCACTAAAAAATGACCATGCATGAAAAATGCACCAAACTTGATAAAAACAAAGTTTTATCATCAAAATTTTATGGCATTATTATTTCATCCTTTATAACCTTTCAAAATTTGCATTAAGAATTTTGTTTTATTGTGTCAATGGGTGAGCATGAATTAGTATGAGAAATATTAGTAACCATAAATTGGTATGGGAAATTTTAGTGACAATCAACTGGTATAGGAAATTTTAGTGACCATAAATTGGTATGGAAATTTCAGTGACCATAAATTGGATGGGAAATATTAGTGACCATGAATTAGTATGGGAAATTTTAGTAAACATAAATTGGTATGGGAAATTTTAGTAATCATAAATTGGTATAGGAAATTTTAGTAACCATAAATTGGTATATGAAATTTTAGTAACCATAAATTAGTATGGGAAATTTCAGTGATCATAAACTAGTATGGGAAATTTTAGTGATCATTAATTAGTATGGGAAATTTTAGTGACAATAAATTGGTATGGGAAATTTTAGTAACCATTAATTGGTATATGAAATTTTCGTGACTATAAATTGGTATTGGAAATTTTAGGGACCATAAATTAGTATGGGAAATTTTAGAGACCATGAATTGGTATGGGAAATGTTAGTAACCATAAATTGGTATATGAAATTTTAGTGACCATGAATTAGTATGGGACATTTTAGTGACCATAAATTGGTATGGGAAATTTTAGTGACCATAAATTGGATGGGAAATTTTAGTGACCATAAACTGGTATGGCAAATTTTAGTAACCATAAATTAGTATCGGAAATTTTAGTGATTATAATCTAGTATGGGAAATTTTAGTAACAATAAATGAATATGGAAAATTTTACTAACCATAAATTGGTATATTAAATTTTAGTGACCATAAATTGGTATATGAAATTTTAGTAAACATAAATTAGTATGTGAAATTTTAGTGATCATAAACTGGTATGGGAAATTTTAGTAACCATAAATTAGTATGGGAAATTTTAGTGACCATAAATTGGTATGGGAAATTTTAGTAACCAAAAATTAGTATGAGTAATTTTTCGAGACCCTAAATTAGTATGGGAAATTTTAGTGACCATAAATTAGTATGAGAAATTTTAGCGACCATAAATTGGTATGGGAAATTTTAGTAACCATAAATTAGTATGGGAAATTTTAGTGATTATAACTAAAATGGGAAAGTTTAGTAACCATAAAATGGTATGGGATGTTTAAGTAACCATAAATAGGTACATGAAATTTTAATGACCATATATTAGTATGGGGAAAATTTAGTGACCATAACTTGGTATGTGAAAAATTAGTAACCATAAATAAGTATGGGAAATTTTAGTGATCATAAATTAGTATGGGAAATTTTAGTGACCATAAATTAGTATGGAAAATTTTAGTGACCATAAAATTGTATTGGAAATATTAGTAACCATAAATTAGTATGGGATATTTTAGTGATCATAAAGTAGTATGGGAAATTTTAGTAACCATTAATTAGTATGGGAAATTTTAGCGACCATAAATTAGTATGGGAAATTTTGGCAACCATGAATTAATATGTGAAATTTTAGTAACCATGAATTGATATGGGAAATTTTGGTAACCATAAATTGGTATGGGAAATTATAGTGACCATGAATTAGTATGGGAAATTTTAGTGACCAAAAATTGGGTGGGCACTTTAGTGACTATAAATCGGTATGGGAAGTTTTAGTAACCATAAATTAATATGGGAAATTTTAGTAACCATAAATTTGTGTGGGAAATTTTAGTAACCATAAAGTAGCATGGGAAATTTTAGTAACCATAAATTGATATATGAAATTTTTAGTGACCAGAAATTGGTATTGGAAATTTTAGTGACCATAAATTGGTATGGGAAATTATAGTAACCATAAATTAGTATGGGAAATTTAAATGTTACCATAAATTGATATGGAAATTTTAGTAAGTATAAATTAGTATGATAATTTTTCAGACCATAAATTAGTATGGGAAATTTTAGTGATAATAAATTAGTATGGGTAATTTCAGTGACCATAAATTGGTATAGGAAATTTCAGTGACTATGAATTGGTATGGGAAATTTTAGTAACCATAAATTGGTATGGGAAATTTTAGTGACCATAAATTAGTAATGGAAATTTTAGTGATCATGAATTAGTATAGGAAAGTTTAGTAACCATAAAATGGTATAGGAAATTTTAGTAACTATAAATAGGTTATTTGAAATTTGAGTGACCAAAATTAGTATGGGAAATTTTAGTGACCATAACTTGGCATGAGAAATATGACTAACCATAAATTAGTAAGGGAAATATTAGTGATCATAAATTAGTATAGGAAATTTTAGTGACCATAAATTGGTTTTGGAAATTTTAGCAACCATAAATTAGTATATGAAATTTTCGTGACTATAAATTGGTATTGGAAATTTGAGAGACCATAAATTAGTATGGGAAATTTTAGAGACCATAAATTAGTATGGGAAATTTTAGAGACCATAAATTAGTATGGGAAATTTTAGTGTCACATTGATTTAGTGATTATAACTAGTATGGGAAAGTTTAGTAACCATAAAATGGTATGGGATATTTTAGTAACCATAAATAGGTACATGAAATTTTAGTGACCATATATTAGTATGGGAAAATTTGGTGACCATAGCTTGGTATGAGAAATATTAGCAACCATAAATTAGTATGGGAAATTTTAGTGATCATAAATTGGTATGGGAAAGTTTAGTAACCATGAATTAGTATGCAAAATTTTAGCAATCATAAATTAGTATGGGAAATTTTAGTAACCATAAATTAGTATGGGAAATTTGAGTAACCATAAATTGGTATAGGAAATTTTAGTAACCATAAATTGGTATATGAAATTTTAGTGACCATGAATTAGTATGGGACATTTTAGTGACCATAAATTGGTATGAGAAATTTTAGTGACCATAAATTGGTATGGGAAATTTTAGTGACCATAAATTGGATGGGAAATTTTAGTGACCATAAATTATATGGGAAATTTTAGTGACCATAAACTGGTATGGCAAATTTTAGTAACCATAAATTAGTATGGAAAATTTTAGTGATCAATAACTATCATGGGAAATTTTAGTGACCATAGCTTGGTATGAGAAATATTAGCAACCATAAATTAGTATGGGAAATTTTAGTGATCATAAATTGGTATGGGAAAGTTTAGTAACCATGAATTAGTATGCGAAATTTCAGCGATCATAAATTAGTATGGGAAATTTTAGTAACCATAAATTAGTATGGGAAATTTGAGTAACCATAAATTGGTATATGAAATTATAGTGACCATGAATTAGTATTGGAAATTTTTATGACCATAAATTAGTATGGGAAATTTCAGTGATCATAAATTAGTATGGGAAATTTCAGTGATCATAAATTAGCATGGGAAATTTTAGTGAACATAAATTAGTATGGGAAATTTTAGTAACCATAAATTAGTATGGGAAATTTCAGTAGCCATAAACTGATATGGGAAAACTTAGTAACCATAAATTGGTATATGAAATTTTAGTGACCATAAAGTAGTATGGGAAACATTTAGTAACCATAAATTAGAATGGGAAATTTTATTGACCATAAATTGATATGGGAAATTTTAGAGTATATAAATTGGCATGGGAAATTTTAGTGTCCATAAATTGGTATGGGAAATTTTAGTAACCATAAAATGGTATGGGTAATTTTTTGTCACCATAAATTGGTATGGGAAATTTTAGAGACCAGGAATTGGTATGCGAAATTTTAGTAACCATAAATGAGTATGGGAAATATTAGTCACCGTGAATTCATATGGGAAATTTTAGCAACCATAAATTAGTATGGGAAATTTTAATGATAATAAATTAGTATGGGAAATTTTAGTGACCATAAATTGGTATAGGGAATTTCAGTGACTATGAATTGGTATGGGAAATTTTAGTAACAATAAATTTGTATGAGAAATTTTAGTGATCATAAATTAGTATGGGAAATTTTAGTAACCATAAATTAGTATGGGAAATTTTAGTAACAATAAATTAGTATCGGAAATTTTAGTGATCATAAAATAGTATGGGAAATTTTACTAACCATGAATTAGTATGGGAAATTTTAGTAACCATAAATTGGTATATAAAATTTTAGTGACCATAAATTAGTATGGGAAATTTTAGTGATCATAATGTAGTGTAGGAAATGTTAGTAACCATAAGTTAGTATGAGAAATTTTAGTGATTATAAATAGTATGGGAAATTTTAGTGACCATAAATTGGTATGGGAAATTTTAGTGACCATGAATTGGTATGGGAAATTTTAGTGACCATAAATTGGTATGGGACACTTTACTGACTATAAATTGGTATAGGAAATTTTAGTAACCATAAATTAGCATGGGAAATTTTAGTAATCAGAAATTCGTTTGGGAAATTTTAGTATCCATAAATTAGTATGGGAAATTTTAGTAGCCATAAATTGGTATGTGAAATTTTAATGACCATGAATTGCTATGGTAAATTTTAGTAACCATGAATTGGTATGGGAAATTTTAGTGAACATAAATTGGTATGGGAAATTTTAGTGACCATAAATTGGTATGGGAAATTTTAGAGTATATAAATTGGTATGGGAAATTTTAGTGACCATAAATTAATATGGGAAATTTTAGTGAACATAAATTGGTATGTGGAAATTTTAGTGACCATAAATTAGTATGGGAAATTTTAATAACCATAGATTGGTATGGGAAATTTTAGTGACCATAAATTGATATGGGAAATTTTAGTAACCATAAATTAGTATGGGAAATTTTAGTGACTATAAATTGGTATGGGAAATTTTAGTAACCATAAATTAGCATGGGGAATTTTAGTAACCATGAATTATTATGAGAAATTTTAGTAACCATAAATTGGTATGGGAAATTTTAGTGACCATAAATTGGTATGAGAAATTTTAGTAACCATAAATTAGTATGTGAAATTTTAGTGACTATAAATTAGTATGAGAAATTTTAGTGACCATTTTTTTGTATGGGAAATTTTAGTGATCATAAATTACCATGGGAAATTTTAGTGATCATAAATTAGTATGGGAAATTTTAATAACCAAAAATTGGTATGGGAAATTGTAGTGACCTTCAATTGCTATGGGAAATTTTAGTGACTATAAATTAGTATGGGAAATTTTAGTAACCATAAACTGGTATGAGAAATTTTAATGATCATAAATTAGTATAGGGAATTTTAGTGACCATAAATTAGTATGGGAAATTTTAGTGTCACATTGATTTAGAAATTCTTGCAAAAATCTGATAAATGTTAGATTTTAATGAAAGTTTTTGCGACTGACTCATAAATGAATTAAATTATTTGAGAAATTTTTCTTTTATTTAGAAAATCTTAGTAAAAAAATTTTTTTTTTTTTACATCTGTTACGTCCCCCACTCAATAGGAGGCATGGTGGAATAATAGAGAGCCGAGTTCAAATTCCAGTCGAATCCATTACATTCACTTACATGCTAATATGCTTAGGAAAGGTATGTATCCTCTTCTCCCCTACCCCAGCTATGCAGGACAGACTAGGTTCTATAGCCTTGGGTGGCAACCGGTCTAGGAGAAGGAAAACTCTGAATTCAAAACTGTCCTGGAGATGGTTGGGCTTCGTCAGGCTATCTTGCCCAAGAAAAACCACTTCTACTGTGGCTGCAGTACATGTTGTGCCCCTAATGAGTCATGGGATTTGTGACTGTGTCCACCCTATCACACTTATTTAATTTTATGAAATTTCAAGAAAATTCATTTTTGCATTGGCACAAATTCATGTTTATATTAGCACAAGTCCTTGAAGAATCTAAATCATCAAATATTTTGCCAAGGACGAAAATTCCCCAGGATCCATGACACAAGTCATATTACACCTCTCTTAGTGCAATGATGAAGGTGCTGCTGCAAATTTGAATCCCTGTGACTTAGCGCTTTCTTTTCTCTCAAATAAGGAGAGAACAGTTACTACCCTTTCATCCAGGGTCCAAAGGCCTAGAAGTGATTGGTTCTTCATATGTACATACAGAGTGGTCCAAAAGTTTTATCCACCCCTACGTAATATAATTTTCTATTTCAGACGGCTGACACTAAATCCGACAGTTTGGAAGAGAGGTTGTGGGTGACAAAACTTTCGGACCACCCTGTGATAATAAAATTATTGAGTCATATGACATTTTTCTTTTTAAAGTCGAAAACATTTACCTTTCCCATTAAAAGAAACAGTTTTAGGCGCTATTACACTTTCACACCTTCCATGGCACTGTCAACCACACAATTTTTTTGTCCTCAGTTCTTTTTTAGTTTAAAAAACAAATACAAATAGATTTTCCTTTTTTCTTAATATTTGTGTAATAACAAAAGTACACAGGTGTACGCTTTAAGAAAGCTTTATTCCACTGAGAATACAAGGTACACATGTAGTGTCCTTTTATAGTCCCAGTAAACAGAAATAGCTCTGAAAGAGGAGAGTAACAAAAGGAGGGGAGACCACTCTTCATTATTCATAACAATTTGTTTCATAATTTGTGGATTTTAAACAATAGATTTCATTTCTTTATCTTTCTGACTTTCTTTTTAGAAACTTTTGGCAGTAGAAACACATTTACAGAAGCTTTTTAAAACCATTGATAGCGTTTGTAAATTAAATTTAACTACTAATAAATTGCAACAGTCCAACTGTTATTTTAAATTAATTTTATAAAGTTAAACTTTAAAAAAAAACTGTTTTCTTTTCATTTTATAAATTTGTCTGGTTGTGTTTTACTTTGGGGGTTGCGAAAGTGTAATAGCGCCCAGTTTTACGCATTATTCTCTTTCTTTGTCATATTTGAATTGTCAGTATCACACTTTTTGGAATTATAAATAAATAAACTTTCTTTCTGCGATTTGCAATGAAACCGCGGATAAGGAGGGAAACAATACAAGATGTGAATGCAAACGGAAAAAAAAATTAAGGAATGGATCATTATGGGTACAGATTAAGTTTTAGAAGAAAACTGTATTCACACCTTATTTTAAATAATCACATTAAAACCCGTAAATAAAACAAATAAAATCCTGTCTAAAAAAAAAATATATTTTTAGACCTGAAAGATTCAAGCTGAATTATAGTTTGAAAAACGCAAACATTAAAAAAAAAAACAATTTGCTTAACTACAATTTTGATTACAGCTTTTAAACAATTTCTGATTTCAAACAATGTTTAAAGAGGACATTCTGACGAAATCGATTAAAAAACTTAAAATAGCAAATTGGACATTGACAAAAATCTCAATCTCATTCATCATTCATCATTCCGAATACAAAAAATCTGGATGAAAACATTAAAGAAATGTTCATTTTCCAGAAATAAAACAAAATATATTAAACAACCCTAGTCGAATACTCCATTAAAAATGTATTACAAATAATATTTCAAGAAGCTTTTATAAATATAAAAAAAAATAGTTGAACAAACCGTTTCAAGTTGAATGTGATGAGTGGCCGGCATTTTTGGTTGCCATGGAATCAGAGAAGACACGTAGGTTTATTTTAATTTCCTTTATAAAAAAAAATAATTACAAGATTCATCTGGATTATGCTTAAAAAACTGTTTTAATATTTATAGTCTGGAATATTTTTATTTTATTTTTGGATATATAGTTAACTAAAATTTAATTTAACTATTAATGATGTCAGTTCAGCTTCAATTTTTTAATAAAGGGAGATAATTCTTATGTGATTTAAGTATTTCATTATTTTTAAAAAGACTCAAACGCTAATATTCCATGGTTAATTTAGTACATTGGAATCGTAATCACGATCCAATTCATTAGGCCTACAAATTTAAAAAGAAAACAGAAAATATAAAACTGGGTATAAAAAACAAAATTTCAGGGTGCCATGGATAAATTGCCATCTAAATTATGCAAAAATGAAAATAACATTAACATTTTAACTGCAGGTATAAAAATTATACAAAAATATTTTGAAATGCCAAAGTAAATTTAATTTATTCATTAAAATTAACTTTCAAGTATCTTTTACAGATTCCAGTGTTTAAAGTCACTTTTTTAGGACATCATTATAAGATTTTTTATTATCAGCACTAAAAAGATATTAACAACCAGACATAGAAAAAGAAAAGTTATATGGTTTAAGCTCCTTTCTACCAACAATCTAATATAAATATTGGTCAATACTTTCTGAAATTGATTGACAAACATTTTAACTAAAATAACCCATTAAGTCAAATTTTTAATAAAAAAATCTTAAAAATTACCTTCTACTGCTCAATAAATAACTGGGTAATTGTTTTTGGTTCTACAATTTGTTATCTGGTAGGTTATTGTTATAAAATTTGTTTAAAATTTTATTATTATCTGATAATAATGATGTTATAGATGTTATTTGGGCAACTTGCTTCTCCTTTTTCTTTTCCACACTCCTCTCTTCAATAATGTAAATCCCCTGAAAATTTTTCTAGATCAAGTAATTTAAATATTTATGTCCTTCTTGTTCTCTTGTGATGTAATATATTGTCTGGATAAATTTAAACCATTTTGTAATTTGGGTCTGATGAGGTAGATATTAAAAAAACTTATATGTTGAAATAAATTTATTACCAAATTCTTTGATGATGTGTTATGG